CGTGACGACGGTGTCACGACGAGGTATGCCTTAGGCCTTATGCTTTGACCGGTGAGTCGTCTTTTGCTTTGCATTCCTAGTTGGACATTTGGAGAAATCTCAGTAAGCTAAATTCTAGGTTCTGAATTCTGCGCAATCAATGGTATAGTCTTTCCTAGAGTTGTGAAAAAATTTGCAAAATTGTGCAAAGGAGGAGAGTGTCATTTTTTTCAGCGTGCCCTAGGAGGTAGACTTCTATCGGAAATTTTAATAAGCTTTGGTAATACTGCGAATTAAGTGGATGCGTAAATAATTCGACAGAATTCCATTTATTGGATCATCGGTGACACATATATACATATCATATATCGTAAGCAGTATTCTACCAGGACACCACACCGGGGATATATTTATCAATCAGCGATTGATAGTAAGGTTTCAACCTCTCTATGTCCGGTTTCTCGTCGCATTTTGAGTACAAGTCGCAGCTGCTGAAAATACTGATTTCTAGATTTCTCTTTAGAATAAAAAAGTGTATCATCACGCTTACTTGAGCAACAGTATAGCATCCAGTTTTTCTTCATCTTGTTTGTTTGTGAAATATCGGTAAGCATTATGCGAGTGATATGGGTAGAAAGAGTGGAAGCGTATTGCGTAGAGTGCTTCTTCAGGAAGCGAAGACCCGTGATTGACTAGCACCTAAAAGTCAAGATTTACGAAGGCCATTTTCCAAAACATTTTATGAAATAAAGGCAAAAAGTGAAAAAAGTTATTCGGATACTGATTTCTAAGCCTACATAGCTGCGATCAATTTAAGCAATTAATGTCTTCTATTCTACTTTTCTGTAGAGGTTCAAAATTATCTCTCACTCAAACATCCTACTAAAACCTCAAAGGTTTTCTGTTCATACCTGGTACATATACTCATCATGACTCCAGCACATTTTTAAATTTTCCAGACCGCAACCAGCGCTATATACTCCTAGCTTCGTCCTGAAAATTTAGATTGCTGTATGCAGCAAGAATTTCGAGTTGATACTCACCTATATTTGGGATTCTGCAAGTCTGGGTTGCCTGCAAAGCTTTCGACTCCATAGACGATTGCATCCGATGGCGCGCAACCGACCGGGTAGGTGTCACCTTGAAGATGGATTTATATTATAGACTGTTCTAGTTGATATGGGTTGGAAAACTGTTAATGAATTGTTTTCACTTGTTAGCGATCAAAATAAATTTTGATTGCTTTTGAAATTGCAAACTGAGAAATTTGAAAGGATATTAGGTACAACTGAGCCCATAACTCAGTTGTACCTAAAAAACGGGTGGAAAAAACGGGTTCCGGCGTATTACCTGCGGCGGAACAGCCGGAAGGTCATGACTTCGCTTAAAATCATTTTTGCAAGTTTCTCTGCTCATTCTTGGAAAGCTACTGGCGCAAGGGATCTGATTGTGAGAAACTAAAATTGCTCAAAATCGCACGTCCTCGCCAGAATCAACAGTATTGCGACGGATATTTCAAAACCTCGCATGCGTAACTTAGTCTATAATAGGAACTTTGGATTTTTGTCCATATCTTTGAAATGTCGACACCATAGTTGTTGGAAAGACATAACAATTTCTAAAAATGCCCTTTTCAGGGAGATTTTAGTAGATCTGCGATAGAAAAATTGCACGAAACCGTCGCAACCACCGCCTCCACCGTCAAATTTTTTAGTTTCAACTCAGATATACAGACACAGTAAAAATTTGAA